GAGCTCTGCATGGATAGTCTGAAGGGGACTGGACTCATCCTAACACCCAAAGGTGCCCATGGGGACTCCTGGAATGGAGTCTCTCACTCTCCTCTCAATGTTGTTGGTTAATATACCACCAAACCAATCCATTCTCCAATAGTTAACTTCAATTTCTGAATTCTGGAGTTTAAGAAGGACCAATAGGAACTGAAGAGCAGATAGCATATGAATCTGGGCTCCAGCCATCAGAGGAGAAATATAAAGGAGGCAATGGCTTCCTTTCCTCCTCCAGGCAACATTAGGCCCACCGGGCCAGGAAGGAGCCCTAGGGACATTGGCGGTTATGTGGCTGAAAAGCTTCAACATACTTGGTTCTGAAGTCATCAGAGGCCAACTTGGCATTGTCGATCTGTATCACCAGCCTGGCGTTCTCAGACTTGGCACACAGAATCTGAAAACAAGGTTCCACTGTGAGGACCACATGAACTTGAGAACTTCTTATTGTTCAAAGACATCCAGCTGCTGCTGTGCCCCCACATACCCCACCCCTCACCTTCTGCTGCAGTTCCTCAATGGTCCGGAAGTAGGACTGGTAGCTGGGGCACATCAAGGGCTCCTGCTGCTGGCACCGCTCCTGGATGCGGCACTCCAGCTCCGCGTTCTCCCGCTCCAGCTGCCGCACCTTCTCCAGGTAGCTGGCCAGGCGGTCATTCAGGAACTGCATGGTCTCCTTCTCGCTGCCATTGAAGGAGCCCTCACAGAACCAGCCGCAGTTGCCCACATTGGCAGGGATGTTGCAGGCCCCAGGTAGAGGGATGTCATGGCAGCTGGGGGCCACACATGGCCTGGAGGGGCAGCTAGAGCCACAGCTCAGGTTGGACAGACAACAGTTGTAAGGCATGGTACTGGGAGAGGTGATGGAACAGCAGACGAGCTGATGGAGGTGGATATGGGTGAGGTTTGAATCTCTCCTTCCTCTCTGGTCCTTTTATACCCTTTATTGTGGCTGGGGGTTTGGCGTGTTGCATAGTTTTCTTTCCTAATGCTTCAGGTAATTTTTTCTCCAAAATATGCTTGTTAGATGCCTCCACAGAGTCTTCCTTCATCCCATAAAATTATTCCATTCATCTTGTGTCACACGGGCTTCTCCTGGGTACTGATGGTTGGTAAAAACAGAGTTTCATCAGGTGGCTTCAAAGGAGACAGAATCATTACAACTCCAAATGGTCCTCCCCATTACTCAGAGGGGAGAACAGCCAGGGACATGGGGTGGAGTTGTTTGGGACTCCTCACCCATGAGGACCTGCCACTGGAATCCCTAGAGAGAGAGTTTGGAGTAAACAGTCTACTGGTGGCCATCTTCTCCCAAGTGTACTTACATTTCAGTGTTCGGTACAACTTGTCTTTCAGCAAAAATTCATTCTGTATCAGCTGCAAGGATCCTGAACCTTATTCTATGAGAATATCAATTGGGGGCTTAGAGAATTTGTCAGTAATGAAGAGACTGAAAATAATTGAGTATTTATGGTTGGGCAATGAAACCAGTGGAATGGGCAGGCATAGTCCTAAAGCAGAGTTTAGCCTCTTGCCCTTTTTTGTAAATAAAGTTTTATCCGCACATAGTCATGTTCACTCATTTAGACATTATCTGTGGTGCTTTCATTCTACAGTGGCAGAGTTGAGTAGTTGCATTAGAAACCATATGGCCTGAAAAGCCTGAAATATTTATTATCAGTCCTTTTCAGAAAAAATCTACCAATCTTCATTTCAACAGTGAGTTTCATGACCTAGAATCAAAGAATTTTATAGCTAGAAGGATTTGAATTCATGGAAGAGAAAACGGAGGCACAGACAGTGAGGAAGGAAGAAAATGAATCCCAATAGATAGTTTTCTAGTCAGGTAGCCTATGGGACCCTTCACATACAGTGTTCCTGTCTCACTCAAAGAGTTTGGATTCTATTGCTGTCATCAATGTCAGAGATGAAGAATCTGAGACACTGGGAAGAAATTTAACTTGTCCAATGACACATATAGGTAGGTTCAAGTCTGCCTGGGCCATCCTACCTCATTGTGAATTAGAAGAGCAGTTGCCAACCTTTCAGACCTCAAGGACCACCAGTGATTCGTGGACCATCAGTTGCCAACCACTGAACTGGAGATATGAGACAAGGACAAGGTCATGGAGTGTCCAAGCACAAGAGCTGGAAGAAGACACAGAAATGAGATCATGAATTTTGATACCAGCTCTGAGGACAGACATATTGCTTTGCTCCTCAGTAGAATGGGGGTTAAAAAGTGACAGATAACCATAAGCTTGTGATGAGGCGTGACTCCTGGAAGTAATGAAATGGGCTTTTATAGAGGAAAATGCTGAGACTCCTGGGCAGTGCTCTCCAACCTGTAGATGCTGACAGCAGTCTCAGGCCTCAAAGGGCTCCAACAATGACTTTGCCCCAGGTACGAGGATGAAAAAGGTGCTTTATCTCTATTCCATAATAACTATAAAATTTTCAAGGAAACAGAAAGGAAAAGAATCAGCAAAAATATTTATTAGCTTGTAAGCCTGGGAAAAAGTCAAACATCGGAGAGTGATATACCCAGTGGGCTTAGAGTTCAGACCAAGAAAGCTCAGGAGCCAATAAACCAGATCACCAAAGAGCACTCACTGGGCATGCCAACTGAGAAGGGACCTGGGGCCCTCATCAGAAGATGGTCCTGGGGCCATAGAGTATCAAATAGAGCTGAGTAGAAGATACACTCCTGGCTCTCGGAGTTGAGTGGGGATTTAGAAAAGAGTATTTAGAATAGTCCAACTCAGGCAGACAGGAAGTCAAATCCAGGTTGTTCCAGGGGCTCAGGGCAGGTGGGATTGGGAGGTTTAATGAGTAGAGTTTCAGTTTGGGATGATGAAGTTCTGGAAATGGATAGTGGTGATGGCTACACAACAGTGTTGAATGCATGTAATGGCCCTGAATCGTACACTAAAAATGGTTAAATTGGTACATTCTCTGTTATATATATTTTACCACAATTTAAAAAACATAATAAAGGTATGGGTGGGCCTGTGCTCCTTTCTGCAGGCTCCAGGGAAGAATCCATTTCCCTGCCTTTTTCAATACCTGGAGGCTACCTGCATTCCTTGGCTCGGAGGCCCCTCTTCAAATCCTGCAGTGATGGGTCAAGTGCTTCTCCTATCACATCGCTCTGACCTGGGTCCACAATCGGATCTCCCTCTGGCTCTCTTGTCCCTTCCTCTTCCACTTTTAAGAACCATTGTGATTACATTGGGCCCACCAGCTAATCCAAAATAATTCCCCACTGTAAAGGCAGTTGGTTTGCAATTTTAATTCCATTTGAGACCTTAATTTTCCTCTGTGTGTAAATTAATATATTCCACGTCCCTAGAATTGGGACCTGGACACCTTTGCAGGGGAGGAGAGCAGGTATTCTGCCTACCACATGAGCTTTTAGATTTACTTCAGCATTATTGTAAAATACTAATATATGTGAGCAGGATATGCAATCCATGAACAAGCAAAATTAGGCAGGACCTCTGAACCGAACTTGACCTTGGATTTGGAGGAAATCACAGACTTGGTGGTGAACCACATGAGAGAAGGAAGTTCAGGTCAGAGGCTTCTCACAAACCAAGTAGCCAAACATGCAAATCTGAATCCATCCCGAAATTCAAGCTTTGAAAATAAGGATTAAAAAAAAAAAATCAAGGGGAAAGTTATGGTAGAAAGAATAAATAGTTGCTTTATTTAAAAATATTTTTAATCCATTTTATTATTTTAGTACACAAGACTGTGTTCCACTAATGTGGGGTCTGATACCAGCCTCAGGAAGCCTGGTGTGATGGGCAAATTAATGGGGAAAATTAGACCCCTCTGTGGTCTCTGATCCCTTCCTCTGAGGTTTTAGCAAATAGATGCTTATCACTCTCGTGGCTCTTCATTAGAATTAAAGAAAGATCCCCATTCTCGATGAATGCTACTGTCCCCTTCAGTATCCCATGATCTGCTTGCCTCTCCAGCCTTTGGTCACAAGGCCAGGGACAATGGCTTATAACAGCACTCCCTGGGAATGAGTTTTAAGCCTTTTAACAAATTGTAAATAACTTGCAGCCGGGACTGTTTTTATGTGTCTCCCCTCCCTGCAGCCTAGGGTCTGCATGGGGCAGGTATTCATCAGGTACTGGTTGGACTGCATTGAGAAAGGCAGGGATATCAAGTGAGGAATTGAGGAGTCTCTAAGCCTCAGAGCCCAGAGGGGAAATGAGCAGCCTAAGCCCAGGCTAGTAATGACCCACCTACACTACACAGGGCATACACATCAGAGGGTCCCTTCACTAGGTGTTCTTGAGGCTGTGGGACCCCCCATCACCCAGGTGATACAGTGCCGGGCCCTATAACTTCCTGCCTAGAGAAGATGAGCTTTCCAGAGCCTCTCTCTCTGGCCTCCAGCTCATGCCTTTGAGTACAGTCAGCTTTATGAGATGTCCAGGTCAAGAGAAGGGGGTGGGGAGAATCTAGGAATGGTCAGGGAGAGAGAGGAGCCATAGCTCGGCAGCTGCCCTGCCCTCCCTCCTGCCACCCAGCCTCACCCATGGGTGCCAGGCCAGCCCTCTGCCCGCTGGGCATAGAACGGCTCAGTATGCAAGAGTCAGTCATTATATGGCCTGACTTTCAAGTGGCTTTTTATAGAGTTCTCCAGAGGTAGGTGTGGCGAAACGAATGAATACCAATGAGAAAGGCATCTGCTTTGCCAGGGAAGTCAAGTTTATTAGGAGGTTCCAAGGAAGGCTGCTGGTGCTTAGGAGAGTTCTCTGGACAAGCAACAAAGGAACAGACCCTGGTGAAGGCAAGGCTGGGCAGGGAATGAATTATCTAGAGTAGATTGGGTGAGTTTCCAGCCACGCAAATTGTGTCTTCAGCCCGTGTGTTGAATGAACCAGGGCCAGGCCAGGTCAAAGCTCCGGAGCCCTGGGCCTGCCTCCTGGCTGCTCTGGCAGTCCTTAGTGCACAAAGGGGCTGCAGGGTCCACAGCGGGGGCGGGGGACGCATGGCGTGCAGGGGGCAGGGGGAGTACAGGGGGTGCAGGGATTGGAGACACAGGGCCCAATGGGCTTGCCGCAGGCGTTGGTTGTGGCGCAGGGGTTGCAGGGCAGCCTGGCGAAAAGAATGATGTGGAAAGGTGAATTAGGGGAGGCATATAATACATACCAGGGAGACCCCAAGAATGGAATGCCCATCTGGACTTGGCCTGACCAATAACAGAAAGGCTAGAGGCTCAGTGGCTACAAAGCTCAGGGTCAAATTTCACATGGTCTCCCTACCATATAACGCCAAAATTCTTGACAGAGACTCTGTAACTCTGGCTTTGACTCCCAACACTATCTATTCCCAGCGGGTGACCTTGAGAAAGTCCCTGAACTTCTCTCAGCCCAGTTTCTTCCCCTACAGACTGGGGTAAACACTGATCCAGCTTGCCAGCTCTTAACTGTATGTAAGGCCAGATGAGGTAGTGAGTGGAAATGTACCATCTACACAACACAATATTATAAGACGTATGAAATATCATCAATATTATCACATTAGAATACAAAGAATTGGCTGTACAATTTCAATTTGTACATTAAACAATTCTTTCCATTTTATGTTTTTAATGATGACCATATTGTGTTTTCTGAGTTCTGCTTGAGCCTGTCTGGTGTGAAGTCATAATTATTCCCTTTCCAAGGCATGCAATTTTTCCCTGGAGTCCGTGTGTGTGTGTGTGTGTGTGTGTGTGTGTGTGTGTGTGTGTGTGTTTGTTCATCAAACACCCCCGGCCAGGTACTCACTTGCAATCCTCACTCTCCAGCAGGCCCCGGTACGTGTTGATCTCACACTCCAGCCGGGCCTTGACATCCAGCAGAACCTGGTACTCCTGGTTCTGCCGCTCCAGGTCACCCCTGATCTCAGCCAGCTGAGACTCCACGTTGGTGATCATGCACTGCACCTGGGACAGCTGGGAGCTGTAGCGGGCCTCCGTCTCTGTCAGCGCGTTCTCCAGTGAGTCCCTCTGTGCGGGGGGAGAGGAAGAATGTCACAGAGCTGCTCCTTTAGCATGTCCCTCCGTAGGGTTCCATGCACGTCGTAAGCTTCCAGAGTTAAAGAGACTGTGGCCCAAAGGTCTACCAGTGACTCTGATTTCCCAACTTTCTCACCAGCAGGTCTGAACAATACCCACCAGGTTGTGCTGGGCCTGCAGCTCGATCTCCAGGGCATTGACCGTGCGTCTCAGCTCAATGATCTCTGCCTGGCAGGTCTGAAGCTGCTCTGAGCTGGACACCACCTGCTTGTTCAGCTCCTGGGTCTGAAACAACAAAGGTAAGAGACAGGATCAGACCCTGCCTTAAGGGTCCCGAGGTCCTGGGTGGCCTCGTGCCGAGATGCCCACCTGGTTGGTGTACCATTCCTCCACGTCCCTGCGGTTGGTCTCCACGAGGGCCTCATACTGACACCTGGTCTCATTGAGCACGCGGTTGAGGTCCACGGTGGGGGCAGCGTCCACCTCCACGTTGAGGCGGTCTCCAATCTGGCAACGCAGGGTGTTGACTTCCTATGGATTCAGAAAAAGCAAGAGTGACTATCCTCAATGAAGAATAGACTCAAAGGAATGACATTGTTTGTTGAAGCCTGTTAGTCTATTTCCTCAGGAAAGAAACAGTGGAACACTCTCTGATGGTTCACGGCAAAGTGATCTGTGCTCTATATGGCCCAGCTCTCTCCTCACTATGACTGTGCCATCCCACCAGGATTGAAAGTACAAAATATGACCATAGGTGTGGACACATGGAGCAGACTGATACTTCTCAGAGGGGAGAGGAGTGGGGAGACTGGAAGAGATTAGCCACATAACATATATATATGTATGCATAGCTCATGAACACAGACAACATTGTGAAAAAGGCCAGGGGGGTCATGCAGTTGGGTGTAGGGGAGCAAAGGGGGAGGAAATAGAGGACATCTATAATAGTGTCAACAATTTTTTTAAAAATACATATTTTCAAGGTCCTGCTTGGATGCCACTGAAGGTCCACTTTCCCAGTTTGCATCAAATAATTCTTGCTATCAAGTAAGAGAATAATTTAATCCCAGGAGAAAGAAGAAGGAGCCCCAGATTATTCTCCACCAAGGCTTTGAAAGAATAGACTCTTTTGGCTCTTTGTGGTGAGAAATGACTTCGCATAGCATGAATACAACAATAGACCCTGGGACATCCCTGCCAACGTGAGCATGCTACGACACAGTAACCAATCACAAGCTGGTGGAAAGAGACAACTTTCTGGGACCGTGTATAAATTCCATCTCTTCATTTTTCCTGTCATTATGAAGTGTGGGTGTTTTAAAAGGAAATCACTAAAGCCACCTCAGCAAAAGACTAAATCAAGTTTTTTCATTTCTCATTTCTGGCCTCACCTCTTCATGGTTCCTCTTGAGGCAGAGCAGCTCCTCCTTCAGGGACTCCACCTGGGCTTCCAGGTCGGCCTTGCACAGGGTCAGCTCGTCCAGGATCCTGCGCAGCCCATTCATGTCTGACTCTACCAGCTGACGCAGGCCCAGCTCTGTCTCGTACCTGCACAAGGATAAGATCAGAACAGTAAATGGCAGACCTCCAAGACTCCCAGGGATGATCTTTGATAACTCCATTCCTCTTGTATTTCCACTTTCTGCAATGAGTAAAACCAGGAGACAGAGGGTTCTGGAGGCTTTCAAGACCCAATATGGATCCAAAAAGCAATAGACTGATTTGAACCCTCATCTCCTTCAGTGATTACTTTGCTGTGCTCCCCTCAATCCCCGCAGAATCCTTTGTGACCAATGGATCAAACCATTGTTCAACAAAGCTCGGGGAATCCCTTTTCTTTTGGAGATTAAACAAAAGAAGTGAGACCCAGTGCACACTCTGAAAGAACTCACTTGGTCCTGAAGTCGTCTGCGGCCAGCTTGGCATTGTCAATCTGCACCACCAGCCGGGCGTTCTCAGACTTGGTGCACAGGATCTGGAGAATGAGAGGGCGCTTAGTGAGGACAGTAAAGATGAGAAGCTAGAGTCAAGATGACTCAGAAGCAAGAACCACACTTCTCTACCACAGATTGACAACCAAGGCCCCTCACCTTCTGCTGGAATTCCTCAATGGTCCGGAAGTAGGATTGGTAGCTGGGGCACATCAGGGGCTCCTGCTGCTGGCACCGCTCCTGGATGCGGCACTCCAGCTCTGCGTTCTCCCGCTCCAGCTGCCGCACCTTCTCCAGGTAACTGGCCAGGCGGTCATTCAGGAACTGCATGGTCTCCTTCTCGCTGCCATTGAAGGAGCCCTCACAGAACCAGCCGCAGTTGCCCACATTGGCAGGGATGTTCCAGGCCCCAGGCAGGGGGGTGCTGTGGCAGCTGGGGGCCACACAGGGCCTGGAGAAGCAGCCGGAGCGGCAGCTCAGGTTGGGCAGGTAGCAGGTGTAAGGCATGGTGCTGGGAGGGAGCAAGTCACCCAGCTGAAAACAGAGTCCCAGCTCCCCAAGGAGCTTGTAGGACTTCTTCTTCTAGGACCATTTATACCCTCTCTACAGAGGGTGTGGACATCTTCACTTTTCAAATGCCCTTCCCTTCAGTCTGTTATTTGTCTTCCTCATAAGAGTCTCCTGTCCCATAAAATTCTTTACTTGAGCTTCTTGCTAAGTCAGGACTCCTCTCAGCACACCCATGAAATCAGACTTTTGTGGTAGACCTTCAAAGAGGCCACACAGTCTAGCCCAAGTAACTGCCTTTGTTATTTGGGAGTTGGTCTATCCAGTGTCATTTCTTTCGTGTCATGTGATCCTGTAAACCCATAATCAGTCCCACCTCATAGCCCACCTGGCATCTGTAGGGAGGGACTGGGATTGAGTCAATGAAGAAATTGTATGAAGTGGCAGCAATGGGCACCCTTTTCATGTATTTTAAGAGTCAAATCCTTCAGTGCTGTAGAACCCCAAGCCTTGGAAACCAGGAGGTGGATAGGAATGGCTGAGAAGGTGGGCAGGTGTTTGTGTAATACTTCTTGTATATCCCTTAAAGAGAGATTTCAAAGGTAGTTGGGGATCACGGGAGTTTCTGGAGGAAGAGATCATTTCAAAAAAGAGTTGAAAAAATTCAAGCTGAGAGATCCATACAAATGCATTTCAATTACCTGGGAGAAGTATCTGGAGACAGGTAAGAAAGGAACAAGAAGGTGATGGTGGACTATTCCACAGGCGTTCATAGCACTGGGACAGAGTAAGCGGGTAGCTGGAAAAGTCTAGAGACAGCCTGGGGGGTGGCTTACACAAGCATGAAAATCTTTGAGGCTGATTCTAAAGCATCATATGGGTTGATTTCACATGCCAGCAGGTTCCCATTTTGGCTTTAAGATAAAAAAATCATTCCAAAGTTTCCAGTGAAACTCCCTAACATTTTGCCCAGTTTGCTAAGTGAAACTGATACGCCAGGGAGATGTACCGATTCTGTCCTGGGCCTTTCTCGGTTACACGTAACCTGGTTTAAGAACCAAAAGTTAAAAGGTACCAGGTTCGGCTCTGTGGTCATGTCACTGAATCCAAGGACCTGTTCACAGGGAGAGAAAATGCTGAGATGCCGCATAAGCAGGGGAGGGGAGGTAGCAAAGCAAGCCTGGAGGACTTGGGGTTGATCTGAGGGATGAAGAAAGGCACCAGCAGCTCTGAAGGCAGGCATCAGGAGGTCTGAGGAAGAGGTGGCCAAAGTTCGGAGTATATATATCAGTTGCATAATTATAGGCATCACCGGGTACCCCTTGCATCTTGGGTAGTAGCACCCCAACCTCCACTGTGGCTTTGGCTGCCAGCCAGAGTGGCAGCTTTATTGACAACTTATTGGAGTCCTCCTCCCCATCAAGCTTTCATGCCAGTATTCTTACGGCTGTCTGCTTGAATCTCAGATAAAAGGTCCTTCATCTACCTTCTCTAAGGTCATTATCGCCATTTCCTATAATGCCATTAAGATGCCCTCCTGCACTACAAAGAAGCCCCAGGCTTCTAATAAAATCAAATTTTCTTTGTTTTCCTCAAAGGCAATTAAAGGAGAAGAAATAGATGGGTGCCGGGGCAGGCATCACCGAGACTCTCCAGAGCAAAGGCACAAGGTTGGGCTATAGGAAGCTCCTGTCTCACTTCATCTGGGCTCGGGACGAATGGAAAGGCCTGTGAATCAGCCTCGTGAGCATTTGCTTGCAGAGAACAGCACGGAGCCTCCTGCTTCCCAACTTGTCAGCGTGCAAGGAGCTGTTTCCTCCATCCCGCCTTCCTCGCCACCCAGGGAGGGTTCCCCTGAGCACAGACTCAATGCCAGCAGCATCCTTCAAGCTCTTTGGCCTGACCTACTGACTGGCCAGTTTAGCGTTGAGGAGGCCTTAGTCAAAGGAGAATGTGCAGGTTGTAAATACGAAAAGATTGGAGGATTGGATTGACAAGTAATGGCACCGAGTTTGTGCACAACGCCGAGACCAGAGAAATGGAGAGAGATGGAACAGGGAGAGGTGTGTTTAGTAAGAGATGTAAGAACATGAAGAAGAGAGAAGGAAGAGACCTTGAAGGAATCCTCAGAATCACATGGGACCACGCATATCAGACAGAGATACCCCATCCCAGAGAAGTAACCAAGGCAACTTGCATCGGTGGATGGAAGAGTGGCCCACCTGCTGAGTGTCCTGTGAGATGTAAGTGGCTATGACTCAGGAAAGATCTATAGACACGAGACCACAGCTTCTGAGGCCTCTGAAGGAAGCGGCAGTCTTCTAAGGCGTCCAGACCAGAGCATCACCTCCTTGATCCACACTGAGATGTGTTTGTGGCTGAGAAGGACACCGTTGTCCGCATGCTGGCAGCACTAGTCAAAAGGAGGACAAAGCTACTATAACTGAATGAGTAAGGAGTGTGCAGAGGAGCAAGGAGCAGTGGGAGTCAGACCTGCATGGGCTCCAGTTCACGGCTAATCAACAGCCACATAGAGGATGCGGGAAGGAACAGGTTACCCTTGTTACCTGGAGATTCCTTTTTCCCTGCAGAAGGGGAAATGGCATAAGAATTCTGGATGGAGCAACAGATGGGCTGGCTGGTGAGTGAACATAATGCTGTTATCCGTTGGAAATCTAGCCTCTTTTTTGCAGTATTTCCAAAATGTCGATAGGCTTGGGGGAATGTGTTGCTCGGATTCATAGGGGAAGTGGGACTCTGGTGCTGGTGAGGATCAGACTTCACGTGCTCTCTCATTTCCTAATTAAAATAGTGGCAGATTTTATTCATTCAGAGAGAAATTGAGCAGTCAATGGACTATCAGACCCACTTTCTTCATTTAGTTCAATTTTATTCCAAGTGCATTTATTGAGCAGCTCTGCAGTGCTGGGCATGGGACCACAATGAGACAGAAGGCTCATAGTTCTGGTAGAGATTTATCGTTACATGAGCAATTCAGGCTACTATGGGCCCCAGAATATTTGAGAAATAACAAAACTGTAAGGAGGTGAGAAATTTTAAAGGTGTGAGATGGACATTTGGAGATAGGTCTGTATTTAGCGTAATTAGAAGGTTGTATGTGTGACATTAAGGAAAGCAGGCATTTGTTGAATGTCTACATAACACGCGGCATAGTCCTTGGGCTGGGGATGGGAGGACAGGGAGACGGGAGGGAGGTGGCATGCCTCTGCCTTCTGAGAGCTCTCAGTCCTGTTGGGCAGACAGATAGGTTCACAACTAACTCTAATATGAGGTAATATAATTGGGCCTTTCACCCACCCCCCCTCAAAAAATAGTTTCTTCCTTCCCACTTCTTCCCACAACTATTCCGGCCCCAAACCCTAGTCAGAGCTTTTCAACCCAGTTCATGGTTTTCAGCTTGGGGCTGAGGGCTGAGGGCTGAGGGCTAAGGCCATTTCAGATGATGCACCTGTATTCCGAAGGTGTATTGGTGACCCACTATCTAGGTGGCAGCAGGTCGAATTCAAACAACTGATCTTGTTAGAATCCATATCTCTTTAAAAATCTTTGCTTCAACCAGACCTGGTAATTTGTGTTTGTTTTTTTTTTAAGTATATTTTTATTGATTTTTAGAGAGGAAGGATGAAGGAGAGAGAGAAACATCATTGATGAGTGAGAATCATTGATTGGCTGCCTCATGCAAGCCCTACCCTGGGGATCGAGCCCACAACTTGGGCATGTACCCTGACCAGGAATGGAACCGTGGCCTCCTGGTTCGTAGGTCACTGCTCAACCACTGAAAAAATAATTCATTATTTTGATATTTGGTTCTTGTTGTCTTGGATACCACAAATGGTTCAGCCCTGCAGCATCCCCCTAGGCACTGAGTTTCAAAGCAGGTGAAGGAGGCAGGTAAGGGGCAGAAGAAAGAAAAGTGCTAAACCAAAGAAGTGAATGAGGAAATAGAAAGAGGAATTCGATCAATGGAGAGAAATGGAGGTGATACTTGCTAGTGAGCAGACACAGCTGTGTCACCTTTGGGACCAGAGCCCTCCTGCGGGTGCAGACATGTGGCGAAGGGCCAGGGAGCCCAGCATGAATGGCTGGACACATGCGGAGGATGTCTTACAACCAGGGAGGGAGAAGGGAGCCAGAGGAAATTTGCGTACAAAAACCAGGTCAAGGGGGAGCTCTGCTGAGAGAGGCCAGGACCTGGCCACAGGCCAGGAGCTCAGTCTGAATATGGCTGGGTGAGGAGGACAGTGCAGAGGAGGAGAAAGCGCAGGAAGACTATCCTTGGGGAGAAGCCCAGGCCCTGCAATACCTTTGCTGTGTAAATCCATCTCAGCCACCCCTCCCAGCACTGAGATGGGTCTGAATGTGAAGTGTTGTCCAGACGTGCTTCCAGGAAAGCCCTTAGAGTTCAGTGCAGAGAAGGCAATGGCCTGGGAATGAGGAGGTCTGGGCTTTAGTGAGACCAGCCGGGAGAACTTAGGGGGTCATTTCCCCTCCCTGACCCTGAACTTCTCCCACTGCAAATGTGCATGGTGATGCCTGTTGTGTCTCTCTCGGGGTTCGGCAAACTGAGTAACACATATGAAAGTGTTTTGTAAATGGTAAAATGATGGACATATATATATATATATGTAAAATGATGGATATATATATATATATATATATATATATATATATATAAATGATGGATATATATATATATATATATGAATCTGTTTTTCTTCTTTTCCTCTTCCTCAATAGATAGAGTGGTTTTAGTAATGGCAGAGGGTTAAGGGATGACCTTCTTTGGTGATTTCCAGGCACTAAAATGGCCAAGGTCCTCAAGCTATCTTGAGATGCTATAGGAATTTCATTCTTTGTATCACCTTTTGTGACATAAAGCCTCAGAAATGGTTCCTCTGGCATAAACACTCTCATTTCCTTCAAGGAAAAGCATTGTGGGTAGTTAAGGTTCTGCTGAGACTTAGCCTCTGTCAAGCACA